AATTCACAAAAGTCCACAATAATTCAACAATACTCCAACAATGATTCAAGCTTAATAATAGTTTTTCAATCACACTACACCAACATATAATCACAAATATCCAAACAAATTGAACAAACCAAACACGATTAACAATCTCTAACATTTTTTATGAACAATTTATAACAAGTTATTCATGAAAACCTAGAGAGAGAAAGTGTGAGAAAAGGGATTACCCAAGGTATGGTGGGTGTTAAATACCCACAAATGATCCACAATTGACGTATATAGCACCCTTGAATCCCTTCCTTGCCTTCCAATTGCTCCAAAGAGCTTTAAATCAAAAAGCCCCAAATTGATTTTTGAATCTAGGGTTTCATAAAAAATTGGGCAAAATTGTGTTTGGGATGATTTTTGTTGATAATGGAGTGTGAGAATTAAGTAGAAAGATGATAATGTTGAAGATTATGTAAAAATTTGTGAGTTTGGGTGATGGATTGAAGAGGGGAAGGCCGAAAATTTTGAGTGAAAGGAGAGGAGAGAGAAGCTCTTGAGTTTGAAAGTGGAGAAATTGTGAATGAAAGAGTGAGGAAGCCCGTGCCTCTATTTCGGGGGGAGCACGAACGTGTCTGCTAGGAGGCACGAACGTGCCTCTTCAGTAATCAAGTTCTCAAAACATTCTGCCTCAGAGGCACAGACGTGCCTCTGAGCAGGCACGGACGTGCCTGCTCATGCAGTTTTTTTTTTTTTTGAAAATAAATAAAATAAGATAAATACAGAAAACCTGAGGCACGGACGTGCCTAGTGAGGAGGCACGGACGTGCCTCTCTAAACATTCATCCCCTAAACTTTCTACCTCAGAGGCACGGACGTGCCTCTGCAGAAATTGATTTTTCTCCCTTTTCCTTCCTTTTGGCGCTTTTACTCCTTGTTTCTTCTTCTTTTTGCTCATTTTCACCTAAATAAAAACCACAAACAACTCAAAAACTAAAACACAAGAATCAAACCAAAGAAATCAAAAGAAAAAAAATGAAAATAATAAAGAAAAGTAACGAACTAAGAGTAAAAACTAGAGAATGGGTTGCCTCCCATTTAGCGCTTGTTTATAAGGTCTTTAGCTCAACCGTATGGCTTCTTTGGGCTTGGTGATGGGGACGAGAGTGTGATATCCACCCCCTCATCGATGGGATCACCGACTCGGTAGTGCTTCACTTGTTGTCCATTGACTTTGAAGGGTTCCCCTCTTGTGTTTTCTAACTCAATCGTGCCATAGGGAAGACTTTTCTAATCTTGAACGGTCCCGACCATCTAGACCGAAGCTTTCCAGGGAATAATTTTAACCTAGAGTTGAAAAGGACTTAATCCCCTTCTTTGAACTCCCTTCTCACAAGGTTCTTGTCATGCCACCTTTTTGTCTTCTCTTTGTACAGCTTCGAACTCTCATAAGCATCAAGACGAAGCTCATCCAATTCGTTGAGTTGCAACAACCTATTCTCTCCCGCTGCTTTGGCATCAAAGTTCAAGCTTTTTATGGCCCAAAATGCCTTGTGTTCTAGCTGAACGGGAAGATGACATGCTTTACCATAGACAAACCTGTATGGGGTCATACCAATTGGTGTTTTGAAGGTCGTTTGGTATGCCCATAGTGCATCATCTAGCTTCACAGACCAGTCCTTTCTTGTTCGCGCAACGGTTTTCTCTATGATGGACTTGATGTCTCGGTTGGACACTTCTACCTGGCCACTTGTCTGTGGGTGATAACCAATTCCAAGCTTGTGGTGCACTCCATATTTTTTCAAAATCGCCTCAAATCGATGCTCCAAAAAGTGTGTTCCCCTGTCACTGATCAAAACACGTGGTAAACCAAAACGAGGGAAAATAACTTTCTTGAAAAACTTGCTTACCACACGAGCATCATTGGTTGGAGTAACTATTGCTTCCACCCACTTTGAAACATAATCAACAGCTAGAAATATGTAACGGTTGCCATGAGAGGAGGGAAACGGACCCATGAAATCTATCCCCCACACATCAAACAACTCGACCTCGAGTATGTTATTAAGCGACATCTCGTTCTTCTTGGAAATCGTGCCCGTCCGTTGACATCTATCACATGCCTTGACATAAGCATAAGTATCTTTGAACATCGTAGGCCAGTAAAATCCACATTGCAAAACCTTTGCAACTGTTTTCGAGGGGCATGCATGTCCACCACAAGGTAAGTCATGGCAATGTGAAATAATATTACTTACCTCGGTTTCTGGAACGCATCTACGGATCATGGTGTCTACGCATTCCTTATAGAGGAAAGGATCGTCCCAGTGGTATCTCTTTGCTTCAGAAAAGAATTTCTTCTTTTGTTGAGAAGAATAGCCATGAGGCATTGTACCTGTGGAGAGAAAATTAGCTAAGTTAGCAAACCAAGGGGATTCAGTCTGTAATAAAGCTAATAAATGTTCAGCAGGAAAAGAATCATCAAAAGGGATATCATCTCCATCTTCAGGCTCAAGGAGAAGACAAGAAAGATGGTCTGCAACGACATTCTCTGTTCCTTTGGTATCCCTGATTTTGATGTCATAATCCTGTAGCTGTAGAATCCATCGAATCAACCTGGGTTTGGCATGTGTCTTGGTCATCAAGTACCTCAATGCTGCATGATCTGTATGAATGATGACCTTGGAACCTACCAAATAAGAATGAAACTTGTCAATAGCATATATAACTGCTAGCATCTCTTTTTCAGTTGTGGCATAATTCATTTGAGCAGAGCTCAAAGTCTTGCTATCATAGTATATGGCATAAAGCTTCTTCTCTTTCCTTTGCCCCAATACGACTCCCACCGCATAATCACTAGCATCGCACATGATCTCAAATGGCAGACTCCAATCTGGGGGTTGCATGACTGGAGCAGTGATTAAAGCTTCCTTCAACCTGTTACAAGCTTCAAGACAAGCATCAGAAAAGACAAAAGGGACATCTTTGGCCAAGAGCTCAGTTAGAGGTCTAGCAATTTTCGAAAAATCCTTAATAAAACGCCGATAAAAACCTGCGTGACCAAGGAAAATTCGAACTCCTTTTACAAAGTTAGGTGGGGGTAAGTGCTCTATAACCTCTTTTTTGGCCTTATCAACCTCAATCCCTTTATTAGACACAACATTACCTAAAACAATTCCCTGTTGAACCATAAAATGGCATTTCTCCCAGTTTAAGATTAGATTAACTTCTTTACATCTTTGGAGCACCTTTTTCAGATTTTCAAGGCATACATCAAAGGTTGTTCCATAGACAGAGAAATCATCCATAAATACTTCCATAGATTTTTCTATGAGTCCTGAGAAAATTTCCATCATACATCGCTGAAAAGTGGCAGGAGCATTACATAATCCAAATGGCATCCTGCGATATGCAAAGGTGCCATATGGACATGTGAAAGTAGTCTTTTCCTGGTCACAAGGACGAATGGGAATTTGAAATAAACCTGAATATCCATCCAAGTAACAGAAAAAGGAATGCTTTGCCAACCTTTTAAGCATCCGGTCGATAAAGGGTAAGGGGAAGTGATCCTTCAGGGTGGCCTTATTCAACTTCCTATAATCTATACACATTCGCCATCCTGTGACAGTTCTAGTGGCGACTGGCTCACCCTTGTCATTCTTAACAACGGTCATACCTCCCTTCTTTGGTACTACTTGTACAGAGCTAACCCACTTACTATCAGAGATAGGGTAGATTATACCGGCAGCAAGCAATTTCAGAACCTCTTTTTTAACTACCTCCATCATTTTAGGATTAAGTCTTCTTTGAGGTTCTACAGAAGAGGTATGATCGTTCTCAAGAATGATCTTATGCATGCATAAAGAAGGATTAATACCCTTGATATCATCAATGGTGTACCCAATGGCACTTTTATATGTTTTCAAAACGTTAAGCAATTGCTCCAATTCTGTGTCTTTGAGTTCAGCATTGACAATAACAGGATATGAGTTATTTGGACCAAGATATGCATATTTCAAGTTGGAGGGGAGGGGTTTCAACTCTACCTCGGGAGGCTTATAACTCTCCCCAATACTCATTACTTCCAATGTCTCTCTGATCGGGTTCTCATTTGGATTGTGTCTTGCATCATCAAGTAACCTGATGTATTCTCTAGACTGCCAATCTCCAACATCATCTTCCTTCCCTAGTAGCACATGTTCCAGAGCATCATCATTCTGATTTAAGGGAAGTTGCTCATTCTGCAGCTCATCTAGCACGTCAACCCGACAAACAGTGTCTCCCATAGAAGGAGCACCCATAACATTCAAAAGTGAGTATTCCAATTTCTCATCACCTACCTCAAAAGTAATCTTACCTTTCTTCATATCTATAATTGCACCTGCAGTAGCTAAGAAAGGTCTACCTAGTATAATGGGAACATTCACATCTTCATCCATCTCCATCACAACAAAATCACAGGGTATGAAGAACTTACCTACTCGGAGGGGTACATCCTCTAGTATACCCAAAGGAAACTTCACTAACCTGTCTGCAAGTTGCAGAGATATGCGTGTGGGTTTGAGTTCACCCATTTGCAGCTTCTTGCATATAGACAGTGGCATGAGGCTCACACTTTCACCTAGATCACATAGTGCCCTGTTGATCTCAATATCTCCAAGCTTCACTGGAATTGAATAGCTACCTGGATCTCCTAATTTCTTAGGGAGAGTGTTCTGCAAAATAGCACTGCACTCTGCATTCAAAGCAACTGTAGTATTCTCTTCTAATTTCCTCTTATTAGATAGCACATCTTTCAAAAAATTTGCATAAGAAGGCATTTCAGATATGGCATCTAGAAATGGAATATTAATATGAAGCTTTTTAAGTACATCGAGGAACTTACTGAACTTTTTCTCAAGTTTAGCTTGTGCTAACCTTTGAGGAAAAGGAACCTTAGGCACATATGGAGCAAGTGGCTTTGGTGGTGCTTCCCTTGATGCTTCCTCGACCCTAACATCTTCTACTTTCTTCTCACTTGCACCTACTTATTCAATGACCTCCCTTGATGGCTCCTTAGTAGGAGGATCTTCCAACTGCTTTCCACTCCTCAGGGTGATGACATTTATTTTGCCTTTTTGAGATTGTTCAGTCTGGCCCGGGAAGGTTCCTGGAGTCTTTAGGGCTTGGCTAAATTGGTTGGCCAATTGGCTTATCTGATTCTCCATAAGTTTACCCTGAGCCTGCAACTGTTGGATAGAGCTATTTTGATGTTGGATGGCACTGTTTGTTGCGGTTATAAAGCTCTCTAATGTCACCTCTAGGCTTGATTTCTGAGGTTGTTGTTGCATTGGTTGGTGGGCATTGGGTGTTTTCTGTTGGAAACCAGGTGGTGGTTGGTTGTAGGTGTTGGGTGGAGGTGGTGGTGGAGGGTTTTGTTGTGCTTGGGAATTTTTGTATGAGAAGTTAGGATGATGTTTCCATCCTTCATTGTAGGTGTTGGAATAAGGGTCATAAGGTCTCTTTGGGTTAGAGGAGTAGAAACCATTGGCTTGCTCGATTGACATCTCTTCCGTATTCTGCGAAATCTGTGGGCAATCTGGAGCAACATGACCCTGCACATTACATAACTGACACAACTCCTGTGGGGTGTTAGAAGTTCCTACTTGGAACTTATCAAACCTGCTTGTTAGTGCCTGCACAGAACTAGTTAGCATAGTTAAAGCATCAACATCAAGTTTACCTCCCTTTTTCACAGTGTTTCGGCCTCCAGGATGATAGTTATCATTAGCCGCCATCTTCTCTATGAGCTCCCTAGCTTCAGTGGGGTTCTTTGTCAAGAGAGAACCTCCTGACGCAGCATCTATGTAAATACGGAACTCATGAGTCATGCCATTGTAAAAGGTTTGCATCAAAATCCAATCTGGAATGCCATGGTGAGGGCATTGTCTCTGCAATCTTTTAAATCTCATCCAAGCCTCATAGAGAGACTCATCATCTGACTGCTTAAAAGTTTGTAGCTCATTCCTCAATCTTGCAGTCTTCTCATTCCCTAAAAACTTCACTAGGAAGGCCTTCACTAACTTGTCCCATGTATCGAACGAGCCAGTGCCTTCATCTCTTAACCACTCCTTTGCCCTGTCTCGAAGTGAGAAGGGGAAAAGGCGTAGTCTGATTGCATCATCTGTAACACCATTCAACTTCATAATGTCACATTTCTCCAAAAAGCTATCTATATGGCTTACGGGGCAATCGTGTGGTAGCCCTGTGAATGAATTATTGGAGATGAACTGTATGAACTGTGGCTTGAGCTCGAAGTGCTGAGCCGTGACTGGTGGTCTTATGATGGTTGAAAGGACTCCGGTAGTCATATCAGGAATACCGTACTCCAAGAGGGATTTAGTTGGTTGGTCTACCATGTTTCTCCTGCTTCTGTTACTTGTTCTCCTTCTTCTTATAGTTGCCTCAATCTCAGAATCAAATGGTTCAAGATCTTCTGAACCTGAGCTACATGTGGGCATGCACAAGAAAAACTAGAGAAAGGTATCAAAAACACAAGGGAAAATAGCCGAAGCAACGAAATAAACTTAGTAAAGATGAATCACAAATAATTCTAATGAAACCGTTAGTCCCCGGCAACGGCGCCAAAATTTGGTAGGCGTGTCGCGTACCTATCAAAAATAACCTAACAGATCAATACTAATGTAGACTGGCAAGTAAGGGTCGGATCCCAATAGACTAAAGTTCAGAAACAATTAATTAGACTCGAATCTTTACTAAGCAAAAATCAAGTATAATCGATAACTAAGGGTCTAAAATATAGGAAAAATTCGAAAATAAACTAATTAAGATGATTAAATCAAGCAATTAAAAACATCCAAGATCTAGCTTCACCACAACTATTATCGATGTAATTGAAATTCTACCTTAACATACGATTTCAATTGAACGGGGAAAAGTAAACCCTAATAATTACCAAGGATCTCTCTCGAGTATCAATGGTTTCCCTAACATACAATCAATCCTATTCTCATGGTATCATGCATATTAGAGACATTAAACACATTACTCTCACTTCCCAATTATCAAACCCAACTACTCTCGTGTTGAGAATCAAACCCTAAATTGATTTACTCAAATCCGTTTATACCCAACTCTCGCTGTGATAAAAACAATGGAATAATCGCAATACTATAGTTACGTCTAACATAGCATTGGCATAATCACAATCAATTTAGCAATTCAATTGTTAAAGTTGTTAAAGAATTTAAAGATTTAATTCATACATCAATAATAATAGGGCTACACTAGATCTTGAATTAAAGAAACAAAAACAATAATAAATAATGAAAACATAATTAAATAACAAAGGGTGAAAAATAAATACCAAATCTTGAATAAAATTGAAAGTAGAAGGCTTGAATCTTGAATCTTGAATTACAAAAACTTAGAAAATAATAATGGAGAACTAGATCTTAAGGAGAGAATAGAAAAATAAAATAAGGCTTAATTAATAATCAAGAAAAACAAGGCTAAAAAGTATTTATATGAGCCTAAAAAGATAAGAAAAACGGCTAAGCCTTGACGCACAAGAATCCCAGGAGGCAGGGACGTGCCCCTTGCTAGGCACGGACATGCCTCTGGGCGTAGCAAAATTCATCTAGCTTCTGTCTTCCAGGCACGGACGTGCCTGACTGTTGGGCACGGACGTGCCTGCTTCTTTCTCTAGGCATGGGCGTGTCTCCTTGTTAAGCACGGGCATGCCTGCTTCTTTACCTAGGCACGGACGTGCCTCTTCTGCTAGGCACGGACGTGCCCAGGGTCTTCCTTTGGCGCAGCTTCAAACACAGAGGCACGGACGTGCCTAATGGGGAGGCACGGCCGTGCCTACCTCTAAAACGCCATTTTCTTGACTTTTCTTCAATCTCCAAACTCCATGGGCTTTGACTTACTTCTTGGATCTATAATTCATCCAAATTAGCTCCATTATTCCTGAAAATCATCAAAAACAACAAAACTACCCATAAAAGCATCGGATTATCCAAACTAGAGCAAAATACGCCAAAACGGACTCAAATACTCAACTAAACTAGCAAAACTAACTAAGAACAAGTCAAATAATATACACAAAACACAACATATCAGATTTCATTGAGGATATGGTGAGTAAGGTGAGATTGATTCAGTCAAGAATTAAAGCAGCACAAGATAGGCAAAAAAGTTATGCCGACTTGAAGAGAAGAAATGATGAGTTTAATGTTGGGGATAAGGTCTTTCTAAAGGTCTCACCAACAAAAGGCGTGATGTAATTTGGCAAGAAAGGGAAACTAAGTGCTAAGTATATGGGGCCATATGAGATTCTACAACGTGTGGGAAAAGTGGCTTATAAGTTGGCTTTGCCGATGGAGTTCGAGAAAATGCATGATATATTCCACATTTCCCAATTGAAGAAGTATGTGCCTAGTGAAACCCATGTGTTGCAACCAGAGACGATTCAACTAGATGAATCATTGACATATGAAGAAAGACCAGTGAAAATCCTAGATCACAAAGTGCCAAGTACTAGGAATAAAGATGTGAAGATAGTGAAGGTCCTTTGGTCTAACCATGAGTACAAAGAGGCTACTTGGGAGGCCGAAGAAGAGATGAGAAAGAAATACCCCGAGTTATTTGATGAGGTGAGTTACGAGGGCGTAACTCTTTCCTTTTAAGAGGGGTAGAAATTGATGAGTGACATTTATGTCACTCGTAGGGGTAGTATTTAGGTCTTTTTCCTCTTTGTTTTTCTTAGGTTTTCACCTCATTGTCCTCTTATGGCTTCTTTTTGTGTTGATGAAAAGTAATGCTTATTTTGATAATCTTTATGCATTATTTTATCATCCCCATGCTCTCGTGAACTTTGGTATCTTCTGCAGGTTCCGTGACGGTCCTATGCACGGTGGGAGGCCCCTTGGCCAAGCATGGAAGCCATGGACAAAGGCAAGAGGAGCAAAAGGGAAGGAGAGGAAGCAAGAAAAGGAAGTGCAAGAGGAGGTGTGGCCGAACCTCTGGAAGGTCCGGTCGAACCTTGGTGTGGTCAAACTTTTCAAAAGTTCGACCGAACCTCCAGGGTGCAGTGAAGGCAGTGTCAAACCTGTTTTCAGCAATTTTGCAGGAGAGGTCGAACCTCAAAAGTTCGACCAAACAAGGATCAGGGAGGTTCGACCGAACCTACACAGGGTTCGACCGAACCTACCCTGAGTCCGACCGAACTTACCCAGAGTTCGGTCGGACCTTTTCCCGATCTCAGCCAATTTTGTACGGACTATTTAAGGTCCTTTTGTGATCGTTTAAAAGGACGGGAGAAGCAGGACAGTAGCCTAGTTTTCAGAAACCTCCCTTAGTTTGAAACATTCCTTAGGATTAATTTAGCTTAGTTTTCATCAAATCAAATCATTGTATTAGTGAAATTCAAGAATTATTCTCAAAGTTTGGCAATTTGTATTCAACATTTGAAGCTTCAATTAGTAATTTCTCCAACCTTCTTCCTTTTAATTTCAGATTTTATTTGGTATTTGCATGTTATTTAAATCTTCCTAGTTCTTGGTAATTTGTTATTGGATGATAGTTATTTCAATTGTTAACCACTTTTCCCCAATTATTGAAGTATTTAGAACCCTAATTCTTGATTGCATGTTGATAAACATGAGTTGTGAGTAGTCTTCTTGCTAGGGGTTGGGTGAAGCTCGACCTTTTGGGTTAACTATGCAAATGTGGGAGAAGCATTGATGTTTGAATTGCAATTAAATTGATTATATGAGATTGCTTGTTAGTTCCTCATGATAGGTTTAGCTACCCTTGACTAAGGAGCTTGATAGTATGATATGCCTAATTTGACATGGAAGTGTAAATTGAGTACGTCATTACTTATTGTAATTTGATTATGTATCGTCTATTGCTAAACTAATGAGGAATCTAAGTTTAGTAGTGTGAGTTGTTTTCTAATTGCATGAGGTTGATTTTACATATAGTCCTTGCTATATCTTGTCTATTTTACTCCCCGTTTACCTATTTGCCTTGGTTGAGTGGATCTCATTCCCTAGTATCTTTAATTCATTGATTTAGAACCATAGTTTGTTTGTCTTCTTGACGAACCCCAATTCATCAATTGACTTCGAGTTAGCTTAAGTGTAAAGATCTTTGGCAATCATATCCCGTTCCTTGTGGACCGAACTCTTACTTGTCATTATGCTTGGTTTGTAAGGTGTTTGTTAATAAATGTGTTTGATTGAGTGTGGAATGTACGACCATTCTAACGCCCATCAGAAATGCAGTGTGATTTCGCATTTTTACCCCATTTATGCTATTTATTGACTTAAGTTTGCATGATTTTGCTTATTATTGGAAAGTATTGTTGTGTTTGCATGCTAATAAAGTACTTAAACTTTAGCCAAGTATGAGTTCATCGAGTATGAGCTCAGTTTGTTAGATATATATGATTGAGAAACAAGCAATTTACAGCAATACAAAAACGTAATACTTTTGAGAAATTATGGATTTTGGGTTAAGTTTCGGGGACGAAACTTCTTTTAAGAGGGGTAGATTGTAATCCCCCATATTTTTCTTAATAAATAATAATTATATATTTTCATGTATACGAATATTTTATAATAATTTTATACTTATATAAATATTTTGGAAAGAATTGACAAAATAAAAACGATAACATATATTTTAATAGCAATATTGCTTCACTACTATTTAAAAAAAAAAAAAAAAACCAAGAAACCCTAAGCCCATACCCTCATTTTAAATAAGTAAACTTCTTAATTCTTCTCTCAAAACCCTCATATAAACCCATCTACTACTTCCTCTACTCCCTTTTCCCTTGCTTCCCCTTCTCCATTCACGATACACACACACACACACACACACACACACACACACACACACACACACACACACACACAAAGAGAGAGCTTCTCCTTCTGCGCTGCTGCTGCCCCGTACACCGTCGCCGCTCCACCACCGGCGACCCTTCACTGCTACCCTAAACCGCTGCCCAACCGGTTTCTTCCACTTCCCCTTCTCTTCTATCTTTCTCTTTTCTTGTTTAATTTCTTTAAAGCTTTGATATTTATATGAATTTTTCAATGATTAATAATTATTATGGTTTGATTATGTTATGAGTTATAAAAGATTGCAAATTTATGAATTATACTTTATTTTATTTATGGAATATAATTTCAGATTTGGTTTATGCGAGAATTGAAGGTTTAAATGTTGATTTTTCATGATTTTTAGGGTTTAAAAATGTGTTGCTAAAGTGATTCAATTTAAGCATGATTTTGTTGTGATTTTGCTATGAATATGATGATGTTTAATTCAACAGCAAGTTCTAAATTTTTTGTAATTAATTTCTGAATTTCGTTCGTAATTTCTCTTAATCACGTTTTAATCACGTCTTGACTCTGACTCGTCTGATTTTTGCAAAAAAAAAAATAATGTTTTTCGTGTGTAAACGACGCTCTAATCAAAACTC